AAGGTTGTTGGGTTGGCTACTAGAACTTCATTCATTTTTCCAAAAATTCCGTGTCCAGCCAATAGCTGATGCAGTTACAGTATTCAGTCACGGCTCCAGTTCAGGTGAGGCTGGTCACCGTAGCCTTGCTCATACAAGCCCCTTACACCTCTGCACAGCAAGCAGAGCTTCAAGCTCTGTTTGTGCCCTAATGCACTTTGCCAGTGAAGTTCATACCACAGGACAGTGCCGATGGTAGGAGTTGCTGTGAACATTGGAACAACCACTGTTGGGTGGCCTACAGAAAGCTCTGTGTGGGCGGCAGTACCCCCGCTTCCCTGGACGCATCCGAGCTCACGCTCCCAGGCCCTTCAGCGGCTGCTGTCTGTGCAGGCCTGGGCTCAGTCCTCTCACACAGCATGTCATCAGAACGCTCTCGGCCTCCGCGGGGAATTCCACATCACCCGAGAACCAGCTCGCCAGGTTCTTTGCCCATGTCCTCCTTGTGTTGTACACACCCCAGTTTTAGCCACTGGAGTTCATCCCCGAGGTCTGCGACCAAACCGGTGGTGGCAGATGGATGTGACTCGTACCCCTGAATCTGAACGAACTGTGTGGTGTTCACTTTACTATAGATAGTTGTTCTCGCTTCATTTTTGCCACCCCTCGAACAGGACAAAATACACATGAAGCCATCGCTCCCTGTTTCGCTGCTCTCAAGTCCTGGGCTGTCTGCAAATTAAAACCGATGACGCTTCAGCTTATACCAGTTCTTCTTTTCAACACTTTTGTGATCAATACCATATTGATCACGAACTGGTATTTCTAATGATCCTCAAGGCCAGGCCATGGTAGAGTGGGCTCTCTTACCCCTTATATTACAATTGCAAAACAAAAAGGGGAGCCGGAGCCCCACAGAGTCCTTGGAAACGTGCTGTTTGTTGTAGATTTTTTGAATTGCAACCCTGAGGGTCCCGCTGCAGTTGAGGGCCACAACTCTCGCTGCCCGGGCTTCCAGGCCTGGACTGCTGGAGAGACTCACAACAGGGCAGTGGAGGGGACCAGATCCAGGGGTCATGTGGGGAACAGGCCACTCTGTGTCTTTCCAGAAGGTGCTGTTCACCCCGTCTGGGTACCTGAGCCTGCTGTTGGTCACCACCGTGGAGGATCCGCAGCCACAGTCCACACAGCTGAAGCCCACGCTGACGTGTTGGCCCCGACTTCCACCAGGAACAGGATGCGAGGAGGAAGAGGAGGGGCGCGAAGAAGGCTCGGCAGACCCAGAATGCTTAAAGCCACATGCGGACGACTCGAGAGCCCGCTGCAGCCGTGGACAGGGGGCCCACCACAGGGCGGTCATCCTGTCTGCAGCCACCATGTTTGTGCTGTGCTGGCTTCTGTGAACTGTCAGGTAGGTGGGGGTCACGGGAAACTTCCTGACTTAGTTCCCAGATCCACCCTGGTGACTCTGACTCTATGGATGGAGAATCCGCTCCAGTACTGACCTGGGGCACACGCGGCGGGAGTTTTCAGATGAACCTGTTGCCCCTGTTCACACAACTGGGCTTAGGGATACTGGTCACACTGGGGAACGGCCTCTATGCTGGTCCTCAGTGAAAATACTGGCTGTTTAAACTCAGCCCAAGAGATGAAGTAGTATATGGGGGACCCAGTAGCCCTTGTCACTGGCCTCTGGGATTTAAAAAAGTATTTCCAGACAATTAGAAAAATGGGACTTCCCAAGGACATAACTGTCTCCCGCGGGGCATCCACCCATACCTCGTGGCCCTGATGACACTACAGTAGAATGAGTGCCTTTCCTAACTGGGTGGAGCGTGCCCATATTATGCCAGTGCCACACGATGTCCCTGGCAGTAGTGGATTCATTAGATTGGTCTCATAGACTTGATAAGAGACACCCACACTGAAATCATGACTCCCGGAGGGCTTGTCAGTACGACTGTGCCTTCAGCCACGGTGGTGTGTGACCGCTGCCTCGGACCTCATCATATACCCCAGTACCACCAAGCGGCCCGGGACCAGAGCTGTGAAGTGGCTCCCTGCGTGGCCTGCAGGCCTGTGTACAGTCTCCTTATGTTTTAATTCCTGGGAATATAAAAGTAAACAGGGCAGAAGAAAAATACCACATGACTTGTCAAAGTTGCAATCTGGCTAATTGCATTCCAGGTAGAATAAAGGACAGGAAGTGCTTGTGCTTACCAACCCTCCTTTGTTATGATCCCAGCTAACCCTCAGAGCCCTGGTATCTGATGCTGGGGTTCGAGCCACAACAGATGCCTATCCAGCTGAATCGACACTGGTGCACTCTTTTTTTTTTTTTTTAATTTTAATATTTATTTATTTATTTTTTAGTTYTYGGCGGACACAACATCTTTGTTGGTATGTGGTGCTGAGGATCGAACCCGGGCCGCACGCATGCCAGGCGAGCGCGCTACCGCTTGAGCCACATCCCCAGCCCAACACTGGTGCACTCTTGCCTTGTGGTATTTGGGGTAGTCACTTTAGTATCTGTGTTGGCCTCTGCCATGACGTCTACTGTAGCCTTAGCTACAAGCAAAATGCTCACTTTCTTAATGATTTGGCTCAGAATACTTCAAAAGCCCCACAGAACCAGGTAAACATTGATGACAAGATAGAAACTAAGTTAAACGTCCTGGAAGCCACAGTCACAAATACAGCAAATGAATGTGCTGCTCTTGGATTCAAGCAGTGGCTCCATTGTCCTGCTGACTACAGATATGTTTGTGCTACAGCAGCAAAGTGTCATGCCCTCAGGGGGCTTGGGAGAACACTAAGAATCACTCTGTGGGCATTTGGTGAAAAGTCATGACAGTTCGGTCTCCGTGACCCTCATCATCACATTGAAGATATTCAAGAGAGCGGGAATGATCTTGTGGATCCCACGTGGCTTGCCAAACAAATACTTAATGGCTCAAATGGTTTTAATCCTTAGAATATACGTTAAAACACAGTAGGGTACATTTTTGGAATTACGTGTTTGCTACTGATATTCTTCTGTGTTATAACGGTGAGATGCTACATCTACCAAAAGAAGTCCAACCACTCCCAACAATAGCTCATCACTTGCATTTAAAAAATAAAAAAGGGGGAGATGTGGAGAGCAGTGACTTGAACCCTGGTCTCTGATTCCTCTGTGGCTGCCTTTGCTCTGGGAGCCGACTGTGCGAAAGCACGGGTCACCATGCCCCAGCTGCTACAGTCATGCCGGCCATAGGAGGCCACATGCAAAGACACACGGCCCTAGCCATCAGAACCTTGGATTCGGACGCCAACTCCCAGGGGTAGAGGACTCCAGGCCTAACAAGGTGACCTCCATGTCTTGCCAGTTTCGCTGCGTCCTTCAGACTGCCCGCTTTGCTAAAGCTTTCTCACAAATCACCTTCTGGTGACAAAACCTGTATAATACACGTACTGAGCGAGCTCTGTGTCCTCAAGCCTCACCAGGGCTTGGCCACCCACGGGCCCTAGCTTTTTCTCTGTGTCTGTTTGTCTTTTCTTAATCCCCCATCACCCCTCGGGCTCCTGAATTGAGGCCATGCTGCTCATGGCACAGGACAAGGCTCTTGAGAGTGCAGACTGCTGTGGGCCCTTGGCTGCTCCAGCCTGGGTCCCTGTGCACAGTGGGGCACAAGTGAGAACCTGGGGCTTGGGCCTGGGTTTCTAGCTCTCCTGGAGGGTGTGGTTGGCTTGGCCTTCCTGTCCCCATGGGGCCTCGTGACGGTCAAGGCTGCAGTAGCCACAGCCAGGGAGTGGAAACATGCTCACTCCGCTCCTAAGGGTGCCCCACAAACCACCAAGACTCCTCACAGGACACAGGGAGCCCCCACCTCTCACCCCAGTCCTGCTGCCAAAGGCCCACTGCAGGGCCACTGAGGGCTGGGATGGCCTTGGAAGTAGCACTCCTTGCGCAAAAGCCCCAGGGCCCTGGCCATGTGCTGAGGTGCTCTGGCATTCCTGGCAGGTTCTCTCCCCAACAGTGGCCGGCCTTCGCCTTCCCTCTTCCTGGCTCTTTGTGGACACTATTGTCCATGCACTGGGCATCTCCCCTTGAAGATCCCTTTTAGTTTTGGTATACAGGTTGAACCCAGGGGTGTTTAGCCACTAAGCCATATCCCCAGCCTTTTAAATTTTTTTTTTTTTTTTTTTTGAGACCAGGCTCATTAAGTCCTTAGGGCCTCCCTAAGTTGTTGAGGCTGGCTTTGAACTTGCAATCCTCCTGCCTCGGCCTCGTGAGCCATGGGGATCACGGTGTGCCATAATGCCCAGACATCTCTGTGAATTTGATCAAGTCCTAACGGAGCTGCTTCCACCTTTTGACTCTGTGTACTGCAGCCAGCAACCTGCCTAGGAAGCTCTCTGAGACCCTGCTCTCCATTCTTTGGGTGTAGACCAAAAGAGGAGCTGACGGGTCACTGGGGAGCCCTGTCATTCTGTGAGTTGCTGTGTGGTGTCCCCAGGGCCTTCCCATCGGCCAGCACAGGGCTGTGATGATGGCCCTACTGTGTGTGAAGCTGAAATTATTCTGCAGGGAACCGAGCCTCTGTGAGTGTGCGTGCCACCTCTGCCCCGTTGCTGGGAGGAGCCAAGGCTCTGAGACCAGGCTGTGGTCTCTCTGTGAGCTTCTTCCCAATCCTGACCTGTGAGGGCCTCCAAGAACGTCCTGGGAGGGACGGCCCACTGAGGAGCCCCGCTGAGACCTCAGTGACCTGGGGGCCGATGGCTGGCAAGGCTGGAGGAGCCCTCATCGCTGGGCCACCCGCCACTGTTCCTGGGGGGCTTTGGTCTGCCTGGCAAGACTGGGGCCGCGCTGGCGTCACGACCTCTCTGGTTCCGGTGTCAGTGAGCTGGAGGCTGAGGCCATGGCCTCTTGATGAGATGCCTGGAAAAGCAAGCTCCCAGAGACGAGCGGGAGAGGAGTGAAGGGTCCCCCAAATATTTTATTTAAATATTAAATTAAAAAAAATATGTCAACTCATCATTTGGCATACATTTATCATGTTAACAAAAGAAATAAAACAATTCAGTTATGGTAAAAAAAACACAACAATTATGTACATCTCCATCAGATCACGTAGTGTCTTAAATAGGCTACGCACTACAGTCTGGGACAGCGCTGCCTGGAAACGAGGAAACAGCCGCAGGCCCAGGACAGCGAGAAGTGAAGACGCGACTTCATCCTCCTCCASAGGGTCTACAGCATAAGAAAAACCAAAATCCGCTATGAAAATAAAGTGCTTGTCGTTGCTTCAGAGAACACAGCGGCAGGAGGCCTTGGATGGGTGGCGTGCCACGGGAGCAGAGGCCGGGGTGCAGCCCTGCTGTGACACGGAGGCCAGGCTGGGCCAGGTGCAGGTAGGCGAGACCCTGGTGCTTTCTCAGCAGCCTGGCACCAGGTCTGCGCCCCAAGGACAGTCCTCCACAGTCACTGAAAAAGCCAYAGCCAGTGTTGGCAGCAGCAGACACAGGCAGGGCCACAGGCCACGCCACGCACGGGGCGCACCAGCCTCCGTGACCCTCAAGTAGCTCGGTCAATCTTTGGCTTTTGAAAACCCCCTTTCCCCTTCAGGATGACCTCCGACCTCCGTAACACTGCGGGCCGTGCGCCCAGCAAGGCACCTGGTCAGGGAGGGGAACTCACAGAGCAGGGACCGTTTCCTGTCCCAGGGGGCTTCTGGCTGGCTGGGTGGCCACCTGTCGGCCAGGCCACTCCTCGGCCAGCTCCAGCCGCGGCCCCTTCCTCAACACAACCTGGTGCTGGGGTGCTTCTCAACGTGCCCGGGAGAGGTTCAAACAGGAACACAAAAGTGTAGTACAAAATATAGAAAATAATAGTGTCTATTTGTCCCTATTTATATACATATACAGTATCTGCTTAAAAAAGAAAGCTTTACAAACACTGACCTAAGCTTCCCATTTCACTCTCCGTGAACAAAAGCCAGATGACCAGCGCTCGGCCGGAGCTGGCGCCAGGGGCAGAGGCAGCAGGCGGCCCCGCACCCACCTCCCACGCCCGACACCGCCCGGCGTCCCCAGTCAGGTGTTGCTGTTGGACCCTGATCATGAAATGCATAAAAACTCAGTGATTAGCAGCAGAAACGAGATGCGCAGCAGGAACAAACTGAGGCTTCCTCCCAGTGCCCCCAGCTCCTCCTCGGAGCTCCCCCAGAGGGCCCCGCAGCACTGCCCTGAGCAGCGTCCGGGTGACACTCCTCTGAAGGAAGGAGGGCAGTCCCCGGCTCTGGTGTGGGGAGAGGACCCACCACCTGGCGGCCCTCGGGAGGACTCTTCTACATGGATGCAGAAGCAGCAAGTTCACAGTTTCGTTACAGCATAAATGTTTCAAGAGGTGAGAACTAGAACTGAAGCCAACCGGACACCACAAGCATGTGCAGGGGCAGGCGTGCTGTCACCGCCAGGGAGGGGAGCCAGGCCCCACCCTCGCCCCGTCCCCCACGACACTCACTCCTCGATTATTATTTTTCTTCAAGAAGTTTCCAGTCCCTACTCAAAGTTGAGGTCACTCAGTGCAAGAAAAAACATAATAATAAAACAAAAAATAACCTAAAAAGCCCATACACCTAACGTATTGCTTGTTTTGCTTCTAAAAAGTTCTTGGCTCTGAGTCCAAAATGTCTTCACATACTCTGAAATTATTGCTTGGAAAAGTCAGTGGGCACAGTGGGGCCACCTCACTGTACCAGGACAAATGTCCCCCGCTGGCCAGAGGTCAGGTCCTCCATCTCGCAATCCCCCTGTGGCAGCCCAGCAGGGTCACAGCCTGGGGCCAGCCGAGAGAGGCATGGTGGCAGGGACCCGGTGGGGAGGACAGCTGGGCCAGCGCTGATGTGCAGGTGGGCATCCAGAAGCCGTGCCGCTGTCATCACGGGGGACACACCGGCCTGGAAGAGGGGGGCGGGCAGCAGCGGGAGCCCTGACACAAGGGGGCCGTCGCAAGGGGCGAGCACATAGGAGGTGGGGGGCAGCGGGGGTGCCTGCTGGCAGCTGGGCGGGACAGTTGGGTGATGCTGTAACTGGAGCAGCCTGGGGGACAGAGAACAGGGAGGCGACAGGTCACCCTACCAGCTCTGCTCAGAGGCTCTCAGGTTTCTGCACTGCCCAGGTTGGTCCTGCCCGCCCTGCGCAGCTGCTGGCTAGGTGGCCGAGGCCCGCAGAGCTGTGCAGGACAAGCTCTGAGCCATGTTCTCACCGAGCTTCTGTTCACCTCTCAGAGATGCCCATGACAGGCCAGCTCCGGTCACTGCTGCCCTCCACCCACTCACGAGTAACCAGCTGACCCCTGCCTGCCCCCTTCCCAGGAAGCGCCCGATGGGCCTGGGAGCAGCCTACCTCTGCTGCTGCAGCACCTCCTCCAGCAGGCTTCTGCCCTCCCGGCCACTGGTGCCACTGCCCTGCAGACCCGGGCTCTGGGTGGGGGCGTGCAGAGTGCTCAGGCCGCCCCGGGAGGCCCGGCTGGAGGAGGACTGGCACACCTGGCGGGCCAGCCCCTTGATCTTGTTCAGCCCCAGGAACCCCTTGGTCCTCGCATTCTTCCTCAGCTGCTGCCGGAAGGCCTTGAGCCCTGGGGAGAAGCAGCACAGGGATGAGGGCTGGCTCCCAGCTCCGGCGTCCCAAGCCCTGGGAAGGGGCAGGAGGGAGGAGAGTCCTACAGGGAGGCAGAAGTCCTCGCTCCCCCCCCCCCCCCGCCCGAGGTTGGGGCGGGCTCGACCCCACCTGGGCAGCCTTTGCAGACGCTCCAGGGAGGATGGGCACGAGCAGCACTGTGGACCCACAGGCTCCCGGGCCACGTGGGCAGCGGTGTCTACTAGGGACAGGCGTGTTCCCGCCAAGGAGGAAGTGCACAGGAGGGTGCCTCACCTTGAGTCAGTGAGGTGTCTGATGCCCTCCGTCCCTCCTGGAAACTGACCGGGAGCAGCACTGCTCTGCCCAGGCCACCCTGAGCCTGCAGCATGGGGGTGGCAGACTGTGCCCCCAGGAATGGCGAAGCCAGTCGGACTGGGGAGCAGGTGCCCAGAAGCCCCTGGGTGGCCAGGCTGCTGCCAAGCCCCACAGGACTTTCGCCTGCGGAGAGGGTCAGACAGCTGTCGGAGCTGGTTCCTTCTGAGGCGGTGGCCACGGTGGAGGAAGAGGAGACGACTATACCTGCAGGCAGAGTAGGGTGTTGGTGAGGGCAGGACAGCCTGTCTCTCTAGGCCAAGGCAAAGGGACAGGCCCCTGGCACTTGCCCCTGGTGAGGAACGTCAGCTGGCCTTTCCCAGTTGGACCCTCGCCTGGGCAGGAAAAGGGTGTCCACTGAGGGCTCCAGAGCCCCGGAGCCCAGGGACCTCACAGGCAAGCCTGTGGGTACAAGTACAGGTGGGCAGGCTATCAAGAGGCTCAGACCCCAAAACAGGGAGGCCCGGGCCAAGTACCTGCCCTCCCGGCACCCGGGGCAGCCCCTCCACCAAATGAGCATGCCCACTAACTCCAGTCACCAGGGCCTGGGAGTAAAGCCCACAAGCAAATCCTGAGGATTCTGATCGAAGGAGTAAAGCCCACAAGCAAATCCTGAGGATTCTGATCGATGGCGGATACCAGGCAAAAAGGTCTGTTCTAAGCAAGGCTGGGGTGGCCTAAGCCCTAAGCCATGTACCAGGTCCTCAGGGCACTTACAGGGAGGGGTGATTGGGGAGAAGTGGGTGGAGACCTCAGCCAGTGTGTGCCTCCGGCCTGTGCTGCCAGGCAGGGGCTCCCGAGCCTCCTGCTCCTCCTCCAGACCAGGACCCAGCCTGGCTTCCCCGCTGATGGCCGTGTCCAGAAGGCTGCTGGGGGAGACGGGGCGGTGCTGGAACACTCCATTGCAGTTGACATCCACTGGGAAGAAGAAGGGCTGCAGGGAGGGAGACCAGTGACCGACTGGGCTCTGTGAGCACAGGCGGGGGGAGCCCGGCCTCTAGGAAGGGTGCCACCTGCCCTGGGCCTGGCTGTGGGCACTACACACCTGCAGGGAGCTCTGGAGGTCACAGTCCATCTCAGCCTGCAGGACAGACTGTGCCAAGGCCTGGGGCTGTGGGCACAGCAGGGAGGATCGGAAAGGGTCCCCGGGGAGGCTGTCCTGAGGCACCTGGGGTCAACAGAAGAGAAAGACCAAGTTGGCACCGAGACCGGGGCACACAGATGCTAGATGCTAAATGGCTCAGGACACGCCCTCCTCTCCAAGGTCACATGAACGTGCAGGTGACCAGGAGCAAGTGCCAAGATGCCAGCACCAGGGCCCAGCAGGAAACAAGTGGCTGCTGGGCAGTCCCAGTGCAGCGGCCCGCACCTCGTCACTTCTGGGCAGCCGTGGCCTGCCGCCCAACTTGGGAGAGCCAAGGGGCCAGGGGCTCTGAGTTTCATCCCCTTGGTCCAAGCCAGGGATTCACAGTCAAGGACACCATCCAAGGCAAAGGGCCAAGAGCAAGGCTTGGGAAGGAGTTCTCCCCCTCACCTCACAGCCGCTGAGGTCTGAGCTTCTGGGCCGGGGCGGCCTGGCAGGCCCGGGGCGGGCCGATGGCTGTGTGCTTCGGTACTCCTTGAGGCGCTCCAGCAGGAGGTAGTAAATGGCAGCAAAGTGGTTGTAGCTGCTATTCTGCAGTGACTGGGGCAGAGGAGGGTGGGGTCAGGCATGGCTGGCTGCACCTTGGGCCCCTGTGCTGGCTGCTGGGATCCCCTACCAGACTATTCCCAGGTTATTCCTGGGTGGCGCAGACTATCTCTAAACTAAGCTGCACCCACAGGAACTCCAGTGCTGAGAGCCCGTCTCTACACTCCACGTCTCTACTCCGCTGCTCCCAGGCTGTCTCTACACACAGGGTAAGTCAGTGGCAGTCAGGGCAGGTAGGCGGTGTGCTCACCTCCACGGTCCTCTGCCGGTCAATGCCAAGGGCCTGCATGATGCCCAGCACCTGCTCGTTGTAGTCACCCAGGTTGGAGGTGTAGCTGTGCACAGAGAAGGTGGGGTCAGCCTGCTGAAGAAGGGAGGGGTCGGCCTGCATCCACCGGTGCTGCCAGATCTGTGCGATGGTGATGCGCTTGGCGGGGTCCACCACCAGCATGCGACGGATCAGCGTCTCGCAGTCTGGGGGAGAGGAGGACACACCCTGAATGCTGGGGACCAGGCTGTGCACCCACTCTCACCGTGCATGGTGACAGTCCTAACAAAGGCTGAACCCTGGGCCCACACCTGCCCCCAAGGAGACCGGGGCTCTGGGAAAGGCACACTTTGGTCCCTCAAAACATCCCCAGGAAGAACCAGACCCCTATCTTGGTGTGACACACTAGGGCAGCAAAGGGTCAGACACGTGAGAGAAACAGAAGAGCACGTGCACAGGGGCCGTGAGAACTGGGGAGAGGCCAGCATCCCAGTCTGGCCCTGGCGAGACTGCAGACCCCAGACTCTTGAGAGACAGCCTGAGGGAGGACTCAGCCTGGACCCAACCTGGCCATAAAGAGGCCTGGACACTAAAGAGGCACCCATGGGTCAGGTTTCTCTTGYGTCCAGTCACCTGAGCCGGATTCAACGACGTGACCGTGGACTCAGTAGAAAGCCCAGCAGCCATGCAGGAGACCCACACCCCTGCTTCTCTCCACAGCCGTCACCCGCTCACCCACCTTGAGCTACAGCAGGCCAGCTCTGTGCCCACCCACCTTGAGACATGAAGAAGGGGATGCGGAACCGGCCCTCCAGCACCCGCTGCCTCAGCGTTGGAAGGTTGGGCCCATCAAAAGGGAGAGAGCCACAGACGAGGACATACAGCACGACACCAAGGCTCTGTGAATGACCAACAGCAGTGTCAGTGCCCAGCAGGCTGCCAGACGTGGCCTTGAGCTGCAGGGTCCACGCTCACAGGCTCTTACCCAGATATCCAGCTGGGGGCCTTCGTACTCCTTCCCCTCAAAGACTTCAGGGGCTGCGTAGGGTGGGCTCCCACACCACGTGGACAGAGGCTCTCCCGGGTTGTAGAAATTCCCAAATCCAAAGTCTGCAAGGCAAAGAAACAGACGATGGACGTCAGTCTAGAAACGGCAGGAGCTGCAGTTTCAAAGTGGACTCAGAAAGCTGGAGACCTCCCGCACGGCCTCCACACCCAGCCGCTGTCCCCTGGACGCAGCCCCCCTCACCCGCCAACTTGATGTCCATGTTGCTGTCCAGCAGCAAGTTCTCCGTCTTGAGGTCACGGTGGACGATGTGGTGGTTGTGGCAGTACTCCACGGCCGACAGAATCTGCCGGAACTTCTTCCGCGCCTCGTCCTCACTCAGGTGTCCGTTGGAAGTTAAATAGTCTGCAGAACGAGGAAACGCAGCTGTGTCCCAAGATGCACAGCATGGCTGCCCTCGGGGATGGGAGGCACAGGGTCCGAGGACGAGTGGACCCAAGCCCATGGGCAGGGCCTGCCGAGTGAGCACACTTGGCTCCAGTGGGTATTAAAAACGAGTGTGGCTTACCAAACATTTCTCCATTTTTTGCAAATTCGGTAACAATGTAAAGCATATCCTTTGTCTCCATAACCTAAAACAAAACAGAAAAAGACCTAACATTAACCCAAGGAAAGAACACACTACGGGTACAAATGATCCACCTGAACCCGTACATCTTTACTTCTACAGGACGAGCACAGTCAGAAAGGGAAAAGAAGAAGCCCCTGCAGTAAAGAACCCAGGGGGCTTCCTCCCCACAGTGACCCGGAGCACCTGTCCGCGACCTGATGCCTTACGTGTCTCTGCATCCTCCTATGTCACCTACTAACTCAGGTTGCCCTAAGTACCTCCCAGGACTTTGGGGGCCACTGCACTTGATCTGGACCCCTCACACGTGACAAGTGATTCAAGTCAGCAGCCAGAGCAGACTGAAGGGTGGCTGACACTCCAGTCCTGCTTGCTTCCCGGGCGAGACAGAGGCCCTAAGAACATGGTCCTGCCATCAAGCTGCAGGAAGCCACTCTGGTCCACAGTGGATTGTCAGGATGTGCCGGGGGCAACAGTCAGTATCAATATACACCTTGAAAGTTCATTATCCACTGGGAACTTTGTGTTACCTAAAAAAAGGACTTTACACCTAACTAAGAACAAGGCAAAATTCAAATCTTTTGTATTGAAAGAAAACAAACTCATGCCTGTGTGTGTTTGAACATATTTTAGAGGAAGAGAGTCAATATTCTTATGAGGAAAAAAAAATTGGGGGGGTTCAAAATACAGTTATTCCTTTAAAAAGACACTTAGAGACAACTGCTTGGATCCAGAAATCCAATAAGAAAAGTATTATTCAAATTCTAGCTAAATTGCCAAGCCAGGGCTTAACGGCCCCACCCCATGTGTGGAGTAGACAGCACTGCTCATTCTCTCTCCATAAAAAAAAAAAAAAAAGAGGAGGAGAAGGAAGAAGATTCCAGAATCCCTTCAACTTTTTAAAAACTTGATGGAAAGGATGAAGCAGCTGGGCAGGTTCCAGGCCCGGGCAGCTGCTCGCACATCAGACACGACTGTCAAGACCAAAGGACCTCGCACCCTCGGTGCCCCCACCCAGACAGCCATCAGTCACGTGGCAACAGCAGGCACCTCCAGAAAAGACCTCTGCATTGATGGCATGGGCAACAGACTTCCTTCACTGAGCCAACTCCACCCAGGGGACAAAGTGGAAGAGCAGGGACACAGGAAGGACTGACGTCGTGAGTCAGCTCTTCACAAAGTCAGAAGCCACAGCAGCTGGGGAGGCACACTTTCCAGGCACCAACTTCGGTGGCCCTGGAGGAGACTTCTTATCTCCAAGCACAACTTAAACATGACGACCAAATGAAACAGGAGCTCTGAGCACACGGCCCTGAGCTCTGTGCTTAAAGACACCGGGGAAACTGTCCCTGCATGAGAAGCACAAGCTCCAACAACACAAGTCCAGGAGCCAGGGTGGGGGTGCACTTGGATCACACTCTCCTACCATAGCGCATGCAGCCTGCCAGCCGTGCACACAGGTCTCCCACAATCACCTGATCCACACAGCTCCACCCGAGTCTCTAAGAGGAATTTACAGTCAACATGAGCAGATGAAGTAGTGACTACCTGCAAAGCCTTCACTTCTCTGCAAAGCAGAAGTGACTTCATCCTAGCAAAAGTGGTCATTATCACCAGGAGGTACAAGAAGGAGACTGCTTTGCTGTCCTAATTATTTACTTGTTTCCCAAAGATATAATTAATGTATTAATTTTAATAATAAGAATAAAAATAAAATCAAAAAACAAACCAACAGATGGTCACGGGTAAGTCATGTTCCTAACAGGTAGCAAGTGGCAAGTGTCTGTGACCAAAGGATTTCCCTGTGCAAAGAAGAGTTAAACAGGAAGAGGAGTGCTCACTGATGCCCTTGCAAAGGTGAGTTCATGAAAACTGGTAAGAACAGCTCTTTTAAAGTTTAATAATCGTGTGCAAAGGTAGAAGTTTCTAGTTGTACTCAAATTTGTCCTTCTGGACCAAGTCCAGGACCTGCATCCACACTACAGAAGTGGTTCTCAAAGTGAAGCCACTTACACAACAGACCTCTATGCATTTAAACTGGAGAAAGTTTTGATACTAGATAAAATTTTAATGAAACAAATCTCCAATTATAATCCAAAAGCAAGAAAATAGTTGCAAATACATATGCACATCTTATAAAAATCACAACCAGCTCACTGTCTCCCACACACATCCAGAAAAGGGGCACCTTTCAGAAGCCCCAGGCTTTGGCTGGCAAGGATTACCTGGGCAGGGAAGGCAGGGGACCTCACCTGGTAAAGCTTGATGATGTGGGGGTGGTTCAAGAGCTTCATGAGCTGGACTTCACGGTAGATTTTCTCCAAATTGCTTGAATCTAATCTTGTTTTATCTATTATTTTTATTGCAACCTGCATATTTTAAAAAGGAAGAGGATATTAGAAAAACAAATCACTTATCCACATTTATAAGTTTCATTTTTTGCAAGTTAATTTTGCAAACACTTTATAAATCATAGAAGGTCACAAAAAGTTGGGGAAAATTAACCAAAGGAACCACTGATATTTAAAGAAATCAAAGTTAAATGTCTCAAGTGAATGAGGCCAGCTTAGCTCTGAATCCAGGAACCACTCCTCCCCTGTGTGCTCATGGTTTTTCTTTTTGTTTTGTCTTTAGTTTGGTTATAATTCTCATTGCTATTCTTTAAAATTTGTACAAATTATATATAAACGTATCACAGGACTTTTACTCTTTACCAGACTAGAGCGTTAACAATGACTGACAATCAACCCAGCAGGCGGTGAATCCGCCCGGGGTCTCTGGTCAGGCTCCCTGGCCTCCCCGTGGCGCCCCTGCGCACCTGCGTTTTGGTGACTCGATGCCGCGCCAGCTTCACCACCGCAAAATTGCCTTTGCCCAGCGTCCGCTCCACATCGTAAAAGCCCACGCGGAGGGGTTTCTGCTGGCCCTGGTCGGCGCCCGCCGGGGCCGCACTGAACTCGGACATGATCACCATGGCTCCGGGCCGCACCTGGAGACCAGCGAGGGGCGAGCTCAGCGCGGACGCCGGCCGAGGCTGCGCACGCCCAGCCCGCCGCCCGCGGTCGGCTCCACTCCAGCTTCCGGACCCTCTTCGGCCACTCGGCCGAGCTCCGCTCGGACACTACCTGCCCACAGTCGGCTCCACCGGAACCTCTATTCCCCTTGGGACTTGAGGGCCCGCTCCCACACCTGTCGCTCCGGGTCACCTCGAGTCTAGTAGCCCCGGATCGCATTAGCTCCGCGGGGCGACAGGACCCGCCTCCGCCGCCCGGTGGGCTCCGCCTGATCCCAAGACCCCGTGAGCCCGGCAGGCAGTGCAGAACCGCCAGCCCCCGCCGTCGAACCGCTCCCTCCCGCCTCGGGGACCCCGATCTCTGGGGGTGTGCGGACCCGCTCCCCACGGACACCGCCGCCTGCGGACACCGCCGCCGGCGGTCGGGGTTCCTCTGACTCAGAGACTCCTGTGCCCCCCGGGCCGTGCAGACCCGCTTCTCCCCGCCCTCCGCCGCCCGCGGTCGGCTCCGTCCCGACTCCAGGACCCGGATCCACGCGATCCGCGCAGTGAGTGCGGACCCGCTCCTCGACGAACCCCGCCGCCCACGGTCGGCTCCATCCCGATCCCGGGACCCTATCCCCGCGGCCGTGCGGACCCGTTCCTCGCCGCCCGCGGTCGGCTCCATCCGATCCAGGGACCCCCGACCCCGCGGCCGTGCGGACCCGCTGCTCCGCGCCCCACACAATGGGGAGCCGGGGGCTGCGCGCCCGCCCGAGCCCCCCGCGCGCTCCTGCAGGGCCTCCCGCGGCGGCCGCCAGCCCGAGCCCCGCCGCCGCTCACCTCCGCCGCCGCCCGCGCGCCCCGACCCGGACGCCGCCGTCCCCGCTGCCCCGCCGCCTGCTCGGCTGCTCGCGCTACTCGGGCGCCTGCCGCTCGCGCCGCCGCTGCTGCCGCCGCCCGGGCCGCGCCGCATGTCAGCGCCGAGGCGCCCGCTGGCCGCACGCGGCGCCCGCCCCGCCCCGCCCCGCCCGCCGCCCCGCCCCGGCCGGCCCGCCGGCCGCCACAGCCCATTGACGTCGCTTTGACGCCAGAGCGACGCGCGGCCCCGCGCCAGGCGGAGGGAGCGGAGATCGGGCGGTTGCCAAGAGACGGGCGGCGCTGACGCGCGCCGGAGAGGCCGTCGCCCTGGCGACCGGGGCGGTGACGTCAGGGGCGCCGGCCGCCCGAGCCGCCCGCTCCGCCCCGGCGCGCCCCCTGCCGGGCACCCGGGGCCCTGCGCGCGGCCCTCTTGCCCCGCTGCGGGAAGCACCGCCCGCGCCCCCGCCAGCACCCTGCCGCGGGGACCCTCGAGCCCCGACCCCCGCCCGGGTCCTCGCGCCCCGCTACAGGGGACGGCTCCTGGGCGCCGCAGCAGCTCCCCAAACGCGAATGGCCGGGCCAGCGTCGCCGCTGGCCCCCTGCTCCCGGGGTCCGCGCCGTGGGGCACGGCCCCCTCGAGTCCCGGAATCCGCGGGACGGCGCGCGGGAGGGTGGGCGGGCGCCGTGCGCAGCGCGAACCCCCTCCCGGCCCAGAGAGGCGGCCAGCTGCCCCCACTGGCGGCCGAGCCCGCGCCCCAGAAGCCTGAGCCAGCCGGTCACAGTTACTTTTGTTCTGAAAAAAATCTCAGTGTTCAGCAAGTTGGAAACTCAAAACACGAGAAAACGTGGTCGGTGTCTTCATTCGGGAGCCCCGCAGCCCATCCAAGGGTCGCACTCGCAGCCGGGGCCCTGCGCCCTGGTCCTGCCGCGCCCTCGGGGCCCGCGGCCCAGCTGAGGTGCTCAGCACACAGGCAGAGGGACACAGCCCCTGCCAGCAGCCCTGGCCCCAGCACAGATCATCAGGGCGGCAGAACCTGACGCCTTGAAAGACTGGGCATTCTGTGGCTCCCTGGCGAAGGTCACAGTAGGCCAACTGGCCGGCCCCACCATGCCCCCAGACTCCACCGCAGCAGGGGACTCTGGGGACCTGGATCTTCTGCACAGCACCTGGGACCTTGGGGCTCACCCTGAGGGCCACCCAGAGGCTGACTGCTAAAAGTAGGGACCATCAAAGGGGAGATGGCTGGGGAGAGAATGGAAACAGCACGTGCTTGGCGATAGAGGGCAAGGGCAAATGGTGTTTCTCAAACAGTAGGAAGGCAGCAGTTTGGCGCATAAATCAAAAATAAATCTCCACCTAACTCAAACTTCTGCATCTGCCTGGGACTGTTTTTCCTTGTGTTAGATAAAAACACCACTTCAGAGAGGAGTGGGGAGCAAGAATTAAGCAAAATTGATTCAGGACTAGGACCTTCTCTAGGGAGGTTTCCTGCGTGGGAGGTGACCAGGGCAGGCTGGCCTGGAAGAAGGTCCCTTGAAGAACTGTAGATAGTGCTGCTGACAAAGAGCCCAGCCCACCAGAGATTTCCCAGTCACCCCCACCTCTGCTGGGGCTCTTGTCTGGGGTCAGCATGTTGAAAGGCACCCAAGGACACTAGAGTCCCAGGCTTCCTGAGTCTCTCAGAGTGCTTTCTTTATTTGTCCCAGGTTCATACACCAGAATTTAGAGGAGTATTTTTAGTTCCTTCCAGTTGAACAGTTTGCAATTGCTTTTCCCCACTTCTGGGCGTCCCAGCACCCTCCTCTGTCCCCGGGCGGAGGCTGGGGGTGGGGGCAGAGACCTGACTGCACACAGGGTTCGCCCCTCACCCTGTGACTTACCGCCTTTCTCCTGGAATCTAATGCAACATCCGGCAGCAGCCTTCACAGCACCCACTCACCGCCCACCAGCCCCAGGTCCAGCCAGAACCTTTCAAAAGGCCTGAGGTGTGTGCAAACATCCGGCTGGTGGTTTGGAAACATTCCTTCAACAACAACTAAAAACTGCAGGTCAAGGAGGGAGGGTCCCAGAGTAGACCCTGGACCCCGGTGCCGCTTGGCCCTAGTTCCTTTTTAGGTTCCACCCCCAGCCCCCCTGTGCCAACAGCCTCTACTGTCTTTCCTTCCCAGCCCCCAGAAAGGCAGGAAAGGGGAGGGGAGCACCGGGGAGGGTCATCATCTGTCCCCAGTGGGTCTCTCCTGGCACCCCCTGAATCCCTTTATGTCTTTACCACTGATGGGCCTCTGCTTCCTGTGGCTCTGCTTGTCCTTTGTGTCCTTGGCCCCTGGAGGTTGACTTCCTTCCAGAATCCCTTCTTTCCTTCAGTTTTCTCTCTTCAGTGGAGGAAGCCCTCTGCCTCAAGCTCTGCCAGAAGGCCCCGTTTTTATGTCACTGTGACTCGGGAAGCGGTCATCAGTCTCTTCCATTTGGAACTCCTTACCCCTGCCTGTCCGCACTGCTTCTGGAGTTCATCTGATTGTTTCTGGACCTCTAAACTGGACATCTCATCCACTGGAAGTGGGTCCTTTAACTCCATGACTCTAGCAACTGAGGTGACAGCCAGGGGCATGCTGTAGACTTCTCTGCACAAATCAGTCACGCTGGAGACTGAAGTCCACAGCAGCATTGATCCAGGTGGTGAACACACCCCTGTCCTGGGCTGTCCTGAACCTGCATCTGTCCCCTCTCTAATGGGGAGGGGGCAGCATCTTCGCACCTTTCCAGGGTGGCCCATGTCACCTCCAGGAGTGAGGTGAGGCACCCCCACCCCTCCCAGGTACCTAAGGCTTTGTCCAATTTGGGTTTGTGCTTTGTTTTTTGCTTTCAAGTCAGGGCCTTGGTCTCCTTAGCCCATTGAACTTGGGGAGTTTTGACAGAGTAACACGTGTGCTGAGTCAAGGGGTCATGGCCCTGGCCCAGAAAGGCCATTGGGAGGAAAGCTCAAGACTCTCTGGCCCGCGGATGGCCCAGTTGACCTGGCTTGAGGCAGGCTGGCCCAGAGGCCGCTGGGTTTTGCCCTAGGCTATGTCCCTCCCGCCCTCCCCCCTCCTGGGTCTGCTCAAAGCTGTCTCGTTGGCTTGGACCTGGCTGAGGAGGTGCCCAGGTCAGCAGCCAGGAGCCACTAAGCCCCTCATGAAAGCTAGCCCTAGCAAGACGTCTCTGAGCTCCCAGTATGGAGCAGTAGGGGGAAGAGAGCGGGGGAGAGTCTTGGGCCTTGGTGATGAGACAGGGTGAGAGGGACTTGGGGGGTCTGGAGGGACAGCCTCTGGTGGGCAGAGCAGAACGGGAACAAACAGGGCTTTCAGCACACCCCAGGGGAGAGCTGGCTATTCACAGACCCAGGGCCCTCACCATCCCCCAGTCCTGGGGTCTACTGCTCATGAGGAATTCCTGATGTAGCCTGGGGGTCTGTCTGATACTCTAGAATGCCAAACCTGGGGACCCAGAGGCTTTTCAGTGTGTGTCCCTGACGGTGTTCTAAAGTCATGAGGACCCTGCAGGTGAACGTGGGATAGGCCGACATCAGGGAGGGGCAGCAAGGGCCAGCAGGGAGGACACTGGTAGTAACTGGGAACTCATTTAAGAAAAGCAATACCAAACCAGCTGGGGGTGGCTGCTGGCCCCGAGGGCATCTATAGGTGGAAACACCATCCCTCCAGGTGAAAGGAAACCTCATCTATAAATGCCCATTTCCCACCATTTTATTAGAGGTGCCAAGCAACTGGGGGGTGTCTTAGTCTGTTTTCTGTTGCTATAACAAAGTACCTGAAACCAAGTGATTTATGAAGAATACTGGGGTTTCTTTGCTCAGATTCTGARGCTGGGAAGTCCAGAGCATAGCACCTGCCTCTGCTGGGCACGTGGTGGGGCCTTCTTGCTGCATCAGGACATGGTGGTGTGTGTCACATGGGAGACAGCAGCAGTGCCAGCTTGGGTCTCTTCCTCTTCTCATAGAGCCACTGATCACCTTCTGCAGGCCCATGTACTATGAGCATATGAACTTGGCTGGATGCATTGAAACCCCGAGTAGAACATAGTCCGCTCCTCCACCTTGCAGAGCGCGGCCCCGGGCTCTGGTCCCAAGACAGGAGAACAGTCCTGGAACCCAGTGTAGGCTGTGAAGTGCTGGCCACATCCTTCCTCCCGTCCTGCAAGGGCTGCACAGAGCACAGCTAGCCCTCTGGGAGTGCTAGGTGGCGTCTGCAGATGCCCCCAGCACCGAGCACGGGGGGACTGTCATCTCCCCATGACCGCCCATCATGGTCTGCGCGTGTCTGCGCTGTGAGGACTAAGGCACAGCAAACGTGAACAGGAGTGAGCGTGGTCCAGACTGCATGTGGTGACAGACACATGCTGCTGGTGTCACGATGGGAAGGGACAGGTCCTGAGAGAGGTGAGATGAATGACCCAAGCCTGAGTTCTGGAAGGGCCTTGCACCTGAGAGTCCCCAAAGGCTCTGGTGACAGGGGCAAGCAGTCAAATGTCTCCTCTCCAGGGCCAACAGAGGTGAGGCAAAGAACCTCACCCCCCACTGGCACCAAGGCCAAATTTGGGGGCCAACAGAGGTGAGGCAAGAACCTCACCCCCCCACACTGGTGCATAGGCCTATCCACAAGTATGGCTGTATGCTGGACCGGTAGTCAGTGACGGGYATGATCCAATGCAGTGGTACCAACCTAAGACAGGAGGCCTTGAGGTCAGCTCATCTGATGACGGGTAAGGACCATATGTAGTATTRGACAACCTAAGGCAGGCACGGTCCCTAAGCCACATGTTTGGTGTTTAATTAAACAGAAGGGGGGAGATGCTGAGAGCCATAGCTGAGTAGGAATGAGGCATGGCATTTTTGCCAGAACAGAGTGGTTGAGAGGTGACGCCAGCAAGCCATTGAGATGATGATGGTTATATTAAGCTGTGTATTCAACTGTATATTAGACCCCTGCTGTCTGCCTCAGGCAGCAGTTCTCCCGGGG